CTGGTTTGGATTAGGATTAAGAGACTTTTCGCAGGGAATTAGGTCTCAGGAGGAAAAGTAGCAGCTACAGTTAAGGAGCAACGTGAACAGTGTTCATTAGCTTCAAGAATGCAGTGTTTGAAAAAAGATGACCACAGATTCAGCAAGCATACTAGGCCTTTAGTTTTCCTTTCATGTCATTTTACTTTTTTTTTTTTTTTTTTTTTTTTAAAGTAAGAATTACATCAGTTTCCTCCATGAAAAGAGAGTGCCTAGAGGTTTGCATTTCCATGAGCATATTAGGTACTCCAGCATTTTATAGATGCATTAAAACAACTCTCATCTCATGTCATGATATATGCAGAAACTGTGGAAGCTCTACATCACTCCCACTGCATTCACACGGTTTTTTCCAACCTACCCTATTCATCTCCATTCTACTGGTCTTATTTTCTCCAAAAGATTTTCCTGTAGGCAGCGGCAGTTTTTGATGCTGTGCCCAAGTTTCAGCTCCCTTACTGCATCACTTCTGTTTTTCTATACTGTGAGACTGTTGGACAGAGGAAGTGCTAGACACCCATGTACTACTGATGGTACATGGCATCAGGAGAGTACCATCAGAGGACAAACCGGACATCAGACAGCAACGTGCCCTTGCAGCCCAGTTAACCCACCATACCCTGGGCTTCCAAGGAACCGTGGCCAGCAGGGCAAAGGAGAAGATCCTGCCCCTCTGCTCTGTGCTGGTGAGACATCACCTGGAGTACTACATCCAGATGTGGAGTACATTGAGACATGGACCTGAATGCTTCATTCCTGGAGACATTAGGAGTCAGACTGAATGGGGTTCTGAGAACCCTGAGCTGTAGGTATCCCTGGTTGTTGCAGAGGAGTTGGACTAGATGAGTTTTAACAGTCCCTTCCAATTTAAGCAATTCTGATTCTATAATTTACCTTCTTGCTCTTAATGCAAAGCAGGTATGAGGATTTAAATTGCAAGATCCCAGTGTTTCTTGAAAATGGTATCAGCGTGTATAATTAGTTGAAAAGATTTGCTTTTCTAGAAACAAAGTATTTGATTTTCCATATGCACTTTTTTTTTTAAAAAAATGAGAAACAATAAGGAAGCTACCTGTACTTCTCACCAAAAAATGAACAAAGAAATTCAAACTAAATAAGGACATTTCCTTCAATTACTTGGAAATGTGAAGAGTTGTGTTTTTGTAGATAATCCTTATGGTGGTAATTACTTCATCTTAGACCAAAGGTTCCCAGACCTGGGCTGCACCACATTAACCAGGAGTACTGGGCTCTATTTTCTGTTGACAACTGTATTGCACTGAGCCATCCTCTCTTATAGTTGAGCATTTTGAGATGCGTTCATGAACAGCTAAAAATCAAAATGACTGTTTTCCTGATCTAAGTGCTTACACTCAAACACTGAACACAAACAGAAAAGACATTTAAAAAACAAAAAAATTACCACTCTAACACTTCTAGACTAATTTGACCTCCAGTTTCCAGAGATACGCCTCAGCTTAACCTAGGGCATGCAAAAGAAGTAAAGAAGAGGTTTAATGCAGTAATTACAAAGTTACTTTTGTCCTCCAGGAAATGAGATTCTGAAGGACTGAGATCACAGTGGTTTGTGATTACCAAACAGTGGTGTTGAATGGTAAGAAGAAGCCTAAAGGGCACAGAAAAGACACCCAAGGCACTTAAATATCAGATAAGACTCGCATAATAAGTTTGGCTGTTTTCAACTCACCATTCCAAATTCAGAACTAGAAATTTACTTTTGATGCAGTGAGAACAAGATGAGGCTGCAAAATGAATGCTCATGATGGCCTAAAGAAAAACAGTGCTTGTTTTGCAGAAATTTAAAAACCACAAGAATGTTGTTTGTAGGAACTAACCTAGAAGTCACATGGCAGAGAATAAGGTACAGAATCAATTTTTATGCAGTGCTATGTAATCAAAGTGGTAACTCCAGTAATGCTTTCTTACTGGAGAGACACATCTTTTACCAACAGAAGCAGAAAACAGCATTTCCAGAGCAATTCATGTCCATTGGCACGATAGCCAGGAAAATGTGTCTAGCATCATGGAATTTCTCTTCCCCTTTTAAAGTTGAATCCAGAAGTTTGAGGCCTGGAGAGGGGAGTAAAAAATAATTTAAAAAACTGAAGCTAGACCCAAAAGGTTACTCAAGGTTAAAAAAAAAAAAAAAAAAAAAAAAAAAAAAAAA